CATTTTTTATGGGCTGAAACGAGGAATTATAAACATGCAAAAGATACAGGAGTGTCATTTAGGCTCTACGGAAGAGCATAACTTCATTATAGATATTATTTTGTTTAACAAAGCATACAGAGACATAATATTATCACTCAATGAGTAAACAATACTGTATCACTGTGTGCCACATTATATATAATTATTATTCTCTTACGGATATTTGCGAAAGAAAAGTAATTTTTTCATACTCACATTTTCTTCCTATATGAACCGATAAAATATCATAGTTATTGGGAATCTAACCAGTGAGGGCGAATATTTTCTTCATCATCATGTTTATATTTCCTGTAAATAAAGAATACATTTCATCAGAATTGCTTCAGAAGTTGAAGCAGCAGTTTCAGTATTTTCCAGTCCTAATATTTCATTAAAAGCCAGGTTTGTTTTTCATGATTATGACAGATTAGTCTAACCATAGGCTCTATTTTAATTACATTTACCGAAGATTGGACAGTCAACTGCAGATTACATGAATGTGTAGGTAGTCATGCGTTTGCTTTACAATTTTTATTCATTTTCATTAGCTACTTATGCGTTGTTTAAGTCGATTTGTATTTCGTGTGGACTGATTATACTGAACAGAAATTGTCGGGAATGAAGGTACATCCAGCCGACGAGAACCAAATAGGACGAAATGCATATCCTTGATTCTACTGTTAGCTAAGATCAGTAAAATAAATTTCAAATAATTTGCATTATGGGATATATACTGACTTTTAAGGCTGATTATGTAATATTTTTTATAAAAAACAAATTTAGAAATGACTATTTTGTATTCAAAAGTAAAAATGTTCTATTTTTGTCATTTTTTACCCCTTTTTTATAGAACAAGATTTGTCAAATATATTTTCTTCAATAATTGCTTTCAAATAAACTAAATATAGATTCATATAGCCGGAAGGCTTGAGCGAAAACAAATTCCTTCACCTTCCTAAATACTTTCTCTAGGCTGTAATTTCTATGAATTCAGTTGCTATTTTTTAAGTATCCTGGATGAAGTAATAAAATTGTTGAAATCTACAACATCTTAAACTAAATTTCAGAAATTTTCTTTAGAGGAGTTAAACAATAGTGAATAAGTTGTATTAATATCACTTAACATTTCCGCACGAAACGTCTGTGTGTAACCATAATATAACCGAACAAATTTAAGAATGATCACATTTACCTATCAATCTTACAATATCAACCTAATTGTTACCTTTAGTAGGTTGTCTTCAAGAATATGTGAAGCTTATATGCTTTAGTTCTATAGAGTTAGCGGATTATTAATTCAATAATATGCATCAAATGAATTCGAGTTGTCTGGAGAAACAATACTGCTGTTGTTTTGTCAGCTGCTGAAAGTGAAGTACTTAGGTGAGACCTTTATTACATTAAATTATGGCGATTAGGCATACGAGCTTTTTACTGTTTCGGTTTTCATCGGGTATAATAAAATTTTAAGAGGACACATTTTTAGTTTCGATAAGAATTCGGTATCATTTGCTGAATTGCTACGAACAAATTAGCGCTGATCATATTAGCAGTGTAAGCTTACAACTCCACTCAACATCCTACCAGAAACTTAATGTCTTATATCAGGTACAATATAAATGTCTTTACAATCGGTTCAATTTATCTATCAGTGATATTAAATGACTAATATACGTTGAAAAACATGACAGAGGGGCAGTAAAAGTGTGACACTGCTGTCTAAATAAAACTAAATTTCAAGAGTTATTTTGTAGGGAATTGATTTGCTTGCGATTTGATCAAGGGGTTGATATAAGTTAAAGGATGGCTGAAAACCAAAGAGTACTGAACATCCATTTCGTCCTAGTTTCGGACTCTTCAACATCACATACACCCACTAGCCCACCGGGATTCGAGCCCAGGACCTTTCAGCCACTGTAACCCAGTTCAGTGATCCATGAATTTTAACTTTTACCAACTCGTGATTTCAGTGCGATGGCCGAGTATTTGTCTTTACTCCTGCCACGGTTGATCTCACTGTTTACGACTTCTCACTAGAATTTCAGGCAACTCTGTCCTGTAGCCAGTCACCAGAGGGCATTAGATTAATTTTTAAGAGTTTATATGTGGATATTTGATTTGCTTTTTTCAGTTGACAATGATTCGAGTGCCAGTGTCTGATTGGTCTACGAGTTTGCATTGTAACCAGAAAGTCCTACACTCGAACACCGGCTAGTACGTACTGCTCAATAGTCTCAAAATCGGGAGGAACAGATGTTCAGTACTCCCTAGTTTTCAATGGTTCTCTAACTGAAATCAGTCTGTGGTCAACTTTGAGATACATAAAACTAGTTTTTTTTTATAAAAGTGAATCAAACTTTGATGATTTAAATTTCTTTCTATTTTGAATACATAAATTATTTCGTAACACAAACACCGACTTTACACCGTCTTTTTTCCTCTCTACAGAATTATATTTTTACATGAGTCATTCTAAAGTGGATTGATTATTGTACTAGTAAAACGCCAATCATTTTTATTTTTCTAATAGCTATGTTAACTTTATGTGTGCCTATTTGTGGACAATATTAGTCAGTCAGTCAGTCAAAAACTTAACTGATTCATTCATGATAAGGAGATGTTATTTTGATTTGTCCTGATTTTCAGACTAAATAAGGGATTTCATGAATGCCAATAGTAGATATAATAATAATAGTGGTAATAATAGTGACCAGATGCTTTGAAACCTTGCTTAAATTTAAAATGTAACACACACTGACTTTTCTGTTCATCAGTCTGTCACATTAAAAAAATATATATATAATTTGCCAATTCTTCAAAATAATGAATAATAAGTGCGATTTTTGAAGGGTATGCAGTATCTATCTAACTTGTCACATTTAAAATGACATTATACAAATTCTCCTTTTCAGTGTTTCAATAATTAGTACTTTTAGATATCGTCTGAATTGCGCAATCTTGCAATATTTTTTTTCTATTCAGTAATCTGGGTCATTATCTGTCAATAACTCTGGACTAATAACGTTCATGTCAAACTGAGAATAGAAGATAATTAGCCTGATTTATGTATGTTTCACGATTAGTCTTGAATATTAACAGATAGTTAAGCGCAAACGCTTCGACATTACTGATTGTATATACTTGCATTCAAGCTGTTAGAAAGTGCCAGCACTTCGTTGTAAGCCTGGTAAAAATTTGAACTACGAATATCTCTACACTTTCGAATTCTTTGACAATCATCTTTTATATATATGTGTGAAACTTGGACACTATGATAGTAGGTAATTCCATATTAGTTTGTTTATTAGATGTTTCACATAGTGAAAGAGTATTATTTATTGGATGACGTTTCAAACAATATTTATTGTTCATAATCATCAATTATAATCACACGACTTCGAAACTTGAGTTTTATAGTTTTCTTTGTTCTCTCCTATTTTGTCGTAGGGGTAGTAGAATATTGCAGATGTCCGGCTGGACAGGTGTTGAATCATTCCTATTACACGTGTTTGCAGTTGATTCGATAAACAAAGCTTCCGTTATCAATCTCTTTCTCCACTTTGTTAAATTAGATCTTAAAACTGTCATTTTATCCCATCCTATTGAATGGTTGTCTGTAATAGCATGTAGTGCTATAGCTGAACTATTCTCTAGATTTTTATCTTATTTGGATCTACTTGTCTAGATTTTGCTAGGTTCTTATGCTCGACTAGTCTGACTGCCACTGTTCTACTAATTTGACCCATGTATTTGACCTGACAATCATTGCAGGGTATTAGATAAACTAAATTGTTTTGTTTTAAAGGCTCTACAGGATCCTTTTACCGACAAAGCTTGCTTCTGAGTTTGAGGGTTTGAATGCCAACCACTTTTATTCCTGCCTTGTTAAGAATTTTCCGTAAGGTTTCCGGGGTTCCTTCCTTGTATGCAATTACTACTGATGATTTAGATTCCTTATTGTTGGTGTTGTGCTGCGCATGTTTGACATGCACGTCATCATTAATATTATTATTATCGTCACTACTATCATTATTTATTTTATTTTTACATTCCCCTACATACTTTCTGACTAATTTATCAGGATAATTATTAAGTTTCAAGGCTTCTCTTATATGGCTCACTTCCTGTCTGAGATTTTCCTTGGTACTACTTAGTTTTTGTGCTCTGTCATTTAAACATTTCACCGATCCTATTTTTACTGACACAAGATGAGATGATCGGAAGTCCAAATATATGTTTCCTGTAAACAATAGTGTTTAACTTCCCATCTCTTTCCTTCTAACGCTACAATTTATTATTGGAAACTCCCCTTCCTGACTTTCCAATTCATAAGTGAATTGAACTGCCTCCACCTTTGAGTTAACGCGTTCGAAAAATCTATCTTTATCCTGTGTTCTGACTACATTGATTGTGTCATCTAAATACCTCCACCATACTTTTAGGGTGGGGTTGAAAGTTTCAGTCGCTATGTTTTCCCACCTATCCATGAATATATCTGTCACAATCAGGAATACTGGTGATCTCATGGCAACTCCCTCAGTTTGTGTGAATATTTTCTCCTGGAATTTAAATACTGTGGAAGTCAGTAAATAATACTGTTTCACTGGGTTATACATCTAATAAACAAACTAATAGGGAACATCTATATAATTTCAAAAGTACTTTTCCAGAGTGATATACAGATGCATTACATATGCATAGACGTTCCTCTTGGAATCCAAGGAAATAATATAATTTTTCCTATGCACTAATGACAGTCTATGCCAAATGTCTTTCATAAGATACTTTGTATATTATTGTTTTCACCAATTCACTCATCATGTTTGAGTTCTTTAAATGATTTCGATTTAACTGACAAAATGCACCTACAAATGAGTAAAATTTTTTTTCGTAATGAGACTTTATTCTTTGTTTGATTCTTGTCAGTTGATTACAGTTGATGCTGTTGAAAAAAAATGCAAAACTCGAAACTTCAGTTACTCATTCGGATTTATTTAAAACAAATTTCATCCCAATATAAACATAAGAGAATAGCCTAGAACAGAAATATTACTATGAAAAAGCGTTAAAGCACTAAGCGTTTGTTGACATATATATATATATAAATGAATAAGATATTAATAATGATGCCTATTGTTATTAAAGACATTCTTAATGTCGTCGTTAATGGAGATTGTTTGTCCTTTCATTATTTATTATTCGATAAAGGCATTGTTGTTCAGCGAATAGTTTATCCATACCGAGTGTTTTCCAGTCACATGGATTCGTCTCAATTTTGCTGTCACCACATACAATTTGAGTATAGTTTAATGATGACATAAAGTTTGTTTGCTGAAATAGGAAATTAAAAAATATAATAATACTCTGGTATTAAACATAATTTTCAGAAAACAAAATCTTAGACAGATAACATTTTTACGGTGAATTTGACTCAAATAATTAACAACTATAACAGTCAAATTTATGGAAGCGCATTTACTTTTCCAACTAGGTCTTTTATGTGGACCCCTAGTACAAAACAAGTGCTTGTTTTTCTCCGTATTCCAAGGTTCTACTCGTGAATTTGATCTGTAAATAATTCAATTTTAAGACTCTTTAGACCTTATTCAGATCTTCTCACATATCAAAGTATATTACCTGGTTGTATATTTGTATATTATGAGCATTTGTAGAATACAATCCGTTTTATTTGAGATTTCCGATTGTATCACTGTTGGTACTTATACTAGTGTAGCTTTTTAACTCATTTTGATGCATGTAATTTAAGCGAGAATTATTTCACTGACTGACTTTCTGTAATAATGATTATAATATACAAAAGTTTGATTGGTGTGGCCTATTGTATAAATAATCAGTTAAAACTGGTGGTTAGAGGATTTGTATTTTTGTTGTTGTATGAAATATAGGCATTTTATAGGAAATAAGCAGAGAAAGTCATGGAGTTAGCATACGTCGAGTTCCGTAATGCTCCTGACCACCAAACATGAATTAATGAGTAACAGCCTAATTAGAAATCAGGATAATAATAATACGCAATCATAAATTACACTAATATTCACATATTGAAGTAGAATCCTAAAAATAAGTGTTTACAAATAGCGCTCTTTCTGTTGAGAGTTTGAATAATTTCATTCTGCGAAGGTAGACACTGAAAGAGCCATGTAGGGATTAGTCATTCAGAGATAATTATATATGACTGTCATTATTGAGAATTTACCAGCTAATACTAATATGGAAATGTCAGAGAAGTTAATCTGTCAGTAGAAATCAACAAAACTGAATATGCTTGGTAATTTTGCAGTGGCGAAATAAAAATAGTTATCATACCGGTTGACAGAGGCATGTTTGTACATCCGCTTAAATTTCTTGCTTCCTAAAAATGTTTCATCCTCCTTTTTTATTTTCTATATTGTTTTCTCTAAAATCTTCGGGATACTTATTTAAAGTGAAAGACTGATTACTTCATGGGAATCAAATAAATCTGATTTACGACTTCGTTGAAATAATTTTACCTAACATAACTGGGGATTTTACACGAATCTGAAAATAATATCAACATTTCAGTTCCCGTAACGATTAGTTTATCACTGTGTTTTCAATGTAATAATTGGTTGAGTAAATTTATTGCACCCAAGCGTATACTACGGATTGATACGAATAGTTGGAATTGCGTTTTTTCAGCCAACAGTGATGAATGAAGAAATCTAAACACCAAACGGCTGTCTTATTCTTTCGTAGCTGCGTTGTTCAACAACGCACTAGGCGATCAACTGATTTGTCCCTTTGAGACCATCGTATTTTGCGTTCTGAACATTATTAGTTTCCAAACGGAAAGAGTGGTGAACCTCTCCTTGAACTGTGTGATGATGGAACTGATTATCTTCCTTTAATCGTTTCTACCGAAAATACATGGTACGGTTTCACCAGTAGGAGGCTTTTCTTAAATATCTGTTTGCAATTTCATAAAAATCTATTCACCTAAAATAACTTTTTTCATTTATTTTACATTTTGTTAAGTCAGACGTTACCATTTGAAAATTATTATTAAAATCATATTTTAAACATCAGTAGTAACATACTTCCAATGAAGAATTCTCCCAAACAAAATGATATGCATCATACTGAGCAGAAATAAGGAAGTATTTCGTGGTTTCTCTTATAAGTTGTTGATTCACTTTTGTATTGGATGCTCCCCTTAGTATCGACACATCTGCATTTGCATTGGAATATTTTTGAATATTATCTGGTTTAGCCCATGCATAGCAGTGAATTGCGAAATCTAATATGTCTGCAATTTTTTCAGGAGCGTACATTTCTTTCAGAATCTCGATAGGAACGACTAGATTTGCGCCGACTATTTCATCATTTTTTAAAGCAACCTGCGAATACAGAAAAAATTAGAACGACTTTAATGTATGCTTAAAACTTGGACACTGTAGGAATATTTAATAAATATTTAATTATTCGCTACATAACCAGGAGCTCCTGGATTCGAATGCCGGCCGGGCGCGTACTTCTGAAGAGTCCTGAACCAGGACGAAACGGCTGTCCAACACTGTCAGGTTTCCCGATGATTCTCTAACTGATGTCAGCTAGTGATCATTCTTGTTACCAATCAATTCCCTGCAAACCAACACTTGGTAATTCCATGATAACTTGTTTATTGGATGTATCACTAGACAACGTCCCGAATAAAATGTATTTTTGATAATCGTATCAGTTGTAAGTCGACTATTTTAAGTAGTAAGTAATGTTATCTAATAAATAGAGGGGAACATACATTTAAAAGCAGGCTTCATATTTTGTTGACTGAAAAGAATATTATGTCATTCAATGTTTCGAAGTATTCTCTTTCTTAAATCAGACAGTAAACGTACATGTTTATTTTACAGCAAATAACAGAATCACCTTACTTACCACAGTACTTATTCTGGAAACCTGATCAGTAGATTAGGACCACTTATTTTGTACTTAAAAAGTGTATTAAAACCTGATGACTGTTTTGAGTAACTAAAATATTAACCATCTGAAGGGTTAGTAAGGGATCTGTTAATTTTGATACAGTATTTCAAAAGTGGAATCCAAAAGGCAATACAGATATTCATCCCTCTGAAATAGGTTTGGAAATCTGCTGCACTGAGCATGAAGAACAAGATTCGGATTTTCAGCACAAATGTTAAGTCATTGAATTCTTCTATTCGGGTGGGAAACTTAGCTCACGCATCATGAAAAACATTTCCGACAGGTTACTGAAGACTTTTATCAACATTTGCCTTCGCTGGCTTCATATTGAAGATCAAATGGCCAGAAAGAACTAGCAACGAGAAAGTCTTGGAACAAACCAGCTGAAAACCGGTTACTCAACAAATATGTAAAAGGCAATGGAGATGGATTGGGGACACGTTGAGGAGACAGTTGGGTGACACCGTACGCCAGGCCATCAGGTGAGAAATGAAGAGACTGGCATGTGTCCGAGGGTGACATGGAGGAGGTCTTGCGAGAAGGAGATGAAAGCTTATGCACAGTTGTGAGTTAACTGAAGAGGACTGGATAAGCCGTCGAGTGGAACCCGAACGGGAAGCGGGGAGTTGGTTGTCCGAGGGTGACTTGGGGGAGATCATGTGAAGAGGAGATGAAAGCATGTGGGCAGACCTGGAGCCAGGTGAAAACTTTAGCAGAGAACCGAACGCAATGGAGACGTGCAGCTGAAGGCCTATGTTCCTCTGGGAATTGAAGGAAAATTTGACCGCCATATTCGTTGAAGCCTAGAAATATATTATTCGCATACCGCAGTATGATTAATATGAGTGATTGGATACCACTCTAATCAACTAGTAGTGACTGTTAACCAGAGTGAAATAAATTAAGCATCAAACGGTGGTTTTGCACGTTTCAGGCCGAGCTCATCAGTGATGTATCCAGTTCTACTCATCTCAAAGAGCCGAATCAGTTCAAACCAACCGAATTCTGACTTACTACTTCGGTGATCTGAAAATACGTATTGGATCACATCTGCAATTCACAAATGCTTTAGTGGTATGCAATATACACAGTTTTGGGTGAAATTTCACCACAGCTTTTGGAAAAATTTACTACATCCACAAAGAAACTATTAAGCTGTCTGTATATTCTATTCATTATGTACATATATTCATATATATATCAAAAGAAATGATGAGAAGTGCTGAAGACGTATTTATTAGAAGGCATAGCCTCAAAAAAAGACACCATCAATTGTTATACATGAAGAGAGATTACTAATTCTATCAAGTCGCCTAAAGTTTTATCCTTCAGCTGATAAGTCGATTTAAAGAACTGAAGGAAACGCTTTTCAGTACTACAGTGGCAACTTACTCGTCATTTGATTTTAATGGGTTCAGTATTTATCTTAGAAATAGTTAAGAATCTGCTACTGTATCAGTGCCTATGCCAATAACATTGCACTGACCTGCTGCACCTAAGTATGAGGTTAAGCATCGTAGGTTCATTAGTACATATCAACATATGAACACACAGATAAAAGGATTTTGTTTAGCGTAGATGGACACCTCTTATTTCACTCTGGGTTTCTGTTCTTCTCAGCTAGTTTTATTACTTTTCTCCAGATATAAATCTCATTTGGATTTATTTGATATATTACGAATTATAAAGCTTTAGAAGCAGTATCATTTGGAATAAGATTTTCCAGTTTTTCAAGTTCGACCACAGATTGATGTCAGTTAGAGAGTCATTGAAAACAAACAGTGAGTACTGAACAGCCAGCTGTTCCGTCCTAGTTTAAGACTCATCGGTAGTTCTTACCCACTGAGGCACGAACCCAGGACCTTCTAGTTACAACTATAGTTCGTAAACCATTCAGCCACTAGCACCCGACTCTATGGTTCATAAACTCTAACTTCCACCAGTTCCTGGTTTTAGCACAACCACCTGTCAACGTTACGGGCAATTATTCGTTCTCACTTACGATAGAATTCACCCCAGTGATCACGACTTCTCAGACTTCAAAAATAAATCAATTCCCTATAGATCAACTCCTGAAAATTTTTCGGTTTTGTTTGGCTTGAAATACTCGCAGGTAATTAACTTGTTCGGTCTAATAATTATTCTTTTCATTATTGATGGGGAATTTTTCCTTAAGTGCCATAGGCATCTGAATATCATTTCAGCTATGAGGAGACAAATTTATCAGAACATATGTATATATATGGAGAAAGAGCATATATAGAGTATTATAGTGATAAGTAAAATAGTTTGATAAGATATGGGGTAACCGTCATCACTATTTGGAGTCAGTTAAAAAATACCCTGTACTCTAAATTTATCCTCAATGTTTTTATTCGCTTTATTGGTCTGTTTCAATTTTGTAAATGGAGGAACATTTGCTCCAGATTTTGGACAAGTATAACTGTCGCCTGATTTGCATCATTAAAAAAAGTCACAAAATAGTAATCAGAGTAATTCAAGTCTACCTAAATAATTTATTTTTACTTACAGAGGACATGTGCTGATCAGCTTCTTTCCAAGCATAGTAGATATGAGTATACAGAGAATCGGATGGTATCGAAAATGTTTTAACCTTCATTTCTTTTGTTTCTGACTGATTCCATAGATAGTCTACTAAATGCAAAAGTGGCACACTGGTTATTGTTTTAATGACAATTATTTCATTTAAATCAGAATCATTTGCTTGTGATTTGTTGAACTTTAAGTTTTCATTTGATGGTAGGTATGTAGCACTGGATAAGACCAGAAGTAATACCGTGGAGATCACCGAGATCAGTGTAGTGAAAGGCATATTGGTTTGTAGTATTCACTCTAAAGTAAAAAAACACAAATGAATATGCCATGTGAGGGCCCAGTTACAGGTGCATCGATAAAAAAATTTGTCTTCAAAACAGAACTCACCGTGGATTACAAAGGGATACAGAAAGACTGTTGATATAGTTTTCCTTTTACTAAAACAGTTTATCTCATTAGTATGTTCCACTTAGTATTTTCTGTTATGTGTGGGCTTTTTGTCCCAATCAAAATTTGTTCCCTGTCTCATAAGAACAAAGATGACCTTTTCTATAACATTGGTTAATATATATATGCGTATTTTTTTCTACAGTCTAGTTGTTTTTGTCTCTAAAATAAGTTTGTTTTCGTTATATGTAAAGTATCTATAAGTAGGATATATATATATATATGTACGAATGATAATGTATGACTCATCATCTGAAAGTATGAATGAAGCATCTTTCTAGTTTAGTAGCAAGTGACCATGAAATCATTCCATCGATTAATAAATTTGACCCAGTTTATATTCTGATGAGGTGAGCAGCCGTTTCACTTTGAGCGCATCAGGCAATATAGTATCTGTCACATAATATCTACTTGTCTGTTTCAATGAAGAATGAACAGTTTTCACCAAATTTTAATTATTATGAAATGCACACACACACACTCAATAAAACTGATGCCATTATACGACAGCAGTCAGTCTGTCTTTTTAAGTGTTCATTTGAAGGATTTAATGGATTTTAAGTTAGATCACAAACTAACATCAGTTCAAGAACTACTGAAATTCAGGGAGTTCTGAACAGCTGTCTCGTCCTAGTTTGAGATGCTTCAGAAGTACTCACCAATAACCCCAACTAGGATCGGAATTTAAATCTTTATCTTTAGTTCTCTTCATTTGTCTGCCTGTTACTGAGCGAAACTTTAGTTCATTTGTACCGCTGTTTGTTACTGAGTAGATGTTTATGAAACTTTGGCTGTTTTTGCTAAATAAAACACAGATAATGTGAACTATATTCGCTGTGTGACGTAACTACTTACGATGTTTTAACATCGTTGGAAATCACTTAGGTGGGATAGACTAGAAGCATAAAGGATCCAGATGTCCTCTTTGATATAATATACAGACCGCTACTGGGATATTTTCATTAATTTCATTATGTGTCGGCTTGAAAAGGGTGTTTCGTCTGCCCTTATTTGTATACCATTTTGTATCAGTTGTTGGCCCAGGTAGTGTTGTAATACATGAACCACGATCATTCTGTGTGACAGTTATTTGCAATCTGTTAGGCTATGGGCTTCTATTAAATGCTGAACAACTGCAATTTATGTATAACTTAGGATTTGCTCCAACACCACCTGAATGGTTTTATTTATCAGTTTTGTTCACCAGGTGAAATACTATCAGCTGAAGATTTAAATGCACAAGTCGGGTGTCCAATCCTACAAGATTGTGGTTTAACTGGTTCATACTGTCACGCGGCTAATTATGCAGATTATAGCCTAGTTCTAGCCAGAGTTAATTGCTGCTTTTGTAATACGTGGTGCTTAGTCACTGTAATTTGAACTTCAGCTTATGTAGGTAGTTTTATAGTCAACAATAAATGGTGTTCGTGCATAAAAACTGTAGCTTTTTCACAGTAATTTTCTAGACTCTGATCATGCTTTAATTAATGGCAGTTATCAAGTCCAACGAAATTTTGAGATAGATTTTAAGTCTCCAGAAGTGGTAAATCTACAATCTCATGCCTCAAAAGCTGTGATGAAGATGATGAGTTCTCCCATATGCAGTGTGGAATACAGTCCTGCTAACAACTACTCATTTTAATAATAATAATTTGCTTTATTCCAGAAACAGTACTAGCGGTACAGTGTGGAATTTTCAGCACATATCTACAATATTTGCAACTAATTTTATCAAACATTTAAAAGGAGTATTTCAAAACAAATAAATATAAAGACACCAACAGCAAAAAAAAGGAAAAACAAAATAATTTTAAAAAAATACGAAAAAATACCAAGAAGCAGAAAGGAAATGAAACATTATATAATAATTACTCAGTATTGGGTAGTGGAAGCTATGATATGATTATGCATGGTGACAGTAAAGCTATAGTCATACAAGAAGTTATGCAATGGTATTTAAGAATATTTATCACCAAGATGATCAGTTAATTTGGTTGAAACAACTCTAAACAATCATAACAAAACATTTCAGGGTTGTTGTTTTTTTTATCAGGTCTAGTGCGGTGTTTGTAGTAGTAGTAGTGTGAGTAATCCTGCATAATACAAAATTTTTAAGTTGGTGACAATGGCGTTCACAAACAATGATTGTCAGTTCAGTATTGCCGAAAAAAAAAATAAAAAATAAGAAAAAGCAACCACAAAACTAATAATTACATGATGGTTAAGGCAGGGAAATTTTGTACTACTCATAGTGCTAATATAGTCGGAACCAGTGGATACACAAAAGAGGAATATAGTAAAGTAAAAAAGTAAGCCAATGTTAATAATTTAGGTAGTTAAGTATGTTTAAGAAGGAGTTCTTTATAGAATACAACATAAGACAGAAATAAAAGAGCCTAAAATTATGTTATTAATAACAAAGCAAGTCATAGGTTTCACGCTTAGCATTGTATTGTATCTGTCACTTAGAACACGGGCCAAGTATGGTATCGTTGAGTTCCTGTACTTGGTTGTACGAGCATAGATTATTTTATACTGATTTCTGGTTTTACTTGATGAGATACAAGGCGAGAGTTGGGAATAGAGGGGGTGTTGGGGGTCGGGGAGTATGGTTTTTGACCATTTTTCGCATGTATTCAGATGTTTTTCAACTAGTGTAGTGACGAGCTGACTGAGTTTTACACCACTAGTCCTACTAACTACCTTCAACATCCTTCTCGGGATGGTATAGTCCTTTTTCAGTAGACCAGGAAAGACTAACGGGGAGCAGTAAGGTAGAATAGGTAAGATACAAGAGTTGACAAATTGTGAAAGTAGAGGTTGGGTAATTCCAGATTGTCTAAGTTTCTTAATGTAGTAGATAAGACAGAACATTTTCTTAGAAATCGTTAGGATATGAGATGTCCAAGTAAGGTCAGAAGACAGAACTAGACCGAGGTATTTTGCAATAGACTTAGTTTCAATTTTAGTCCCCTCAATGCAACAGGCTTCATGAGAACTTACTAGTGTTCGTAAATCTCGTTTATGCCTAAGGGAGAAGTCAACAACTACACATTTTCTTTAAATTTCTTGCATTTATTGACTCCTACAGTTTCATGCAGTTGAACATTGTGTATAGTTTTATGTCATTCCATTTCGCGAGGGATTACATAGTATTTTTTGAAAAACCTTTGAATTCATACAGACTGGAGGACATTGAGAGTTTACCTAGGAGAGCTTAGAAACTGTGATTCGGAAACTCTAATACTCATGAACTCCACGAGTAATATATGAATCAGTTTTCGCCACAGACAACCATGATATAACAGCCAATTATGTTACTCTCTCATTTTATGGATAAGACTGTCAGTCGAAGACTAGGGAAGTCAGCCTTCAATATAAAGGCAGAATTCGGGCTCTGTATTAGAATATAAATACATATTAGATAATTTTACTTAATATAACACCCGGTGATACAGTGTTAATAACTTAGTATTAACAATACTACCGTGTGTTATTTTAAATAAACTTATCTAAAATGGAGCAATCATTATCTTATGCCTCACATTAAATATGGGACACCAGTTCAATAGGTCAAGTCATCTACACGCTCTAGTAATCCACCAAACCTACTACTTTATCAAAAATATATTTAGTTATTTAATTCATTATCATTCTATTGTTATCGTTATCTCTCCTTTGTAGGTATTACTGTTGTATTTTTATCATCTCTACATTTGTTAACAGTCTTTATTTACGTCAGCCGTTTTCAACTGTTTGAAATCTCCGTCTCTGTGTCTTCTTGAGGTCTTAACCAGTGATTTCAGAAGCTCTGAGTGTCTGTAAGAAGTTAGTTGTATACAGAGATACTATTGAATATGACTCAGAATCGAAATCAATGACAAACAAATTCCTTTCTTCTCAGTCTGAAACTAAAATAAAATGATGGATGCTCCTTTGAGTGTTCTTGAGTAGTGTGCTTAAATATTTTCGTTCTGTTATTCCTCAATCACTTTATTTCTTTTTTTCCTTACTCTGTTGTGCTATTATTTTGTGTTTCACACTAATTGGTCCCTCTATAGCACCAGTATTCTGTTTTAAATAAAACAGGAGAATAATAAGCCAAGTATTGATGAAAGTCTCAGTGGCAGTTTGACATAACTGGAGCGACTGTCCAAACTTTATGAACAACAGTTTAGTTGGTCATTAGGATCACTAATTTCCAGTTCAAAGCTCAGAGTTTCTTGGTAATTTGACAGCTGTTCCCGTAATGAATGAATGATTCAATTGTGAACTCGGACAAATTATTCCAAACTGCTCTGAAAAATGGAGGCAAGATACTGATCTGAAAGCTAACTAGACTGCGTGATAAATTGATCTGGGAGTGCTATGTCATTCTGCAATAAAGTTGTTATTTTACCCATCATTCAGAAGGGAATACTGATCATTAGGTTATAAATCTGTTTTTAGTTACACCATTACAGTTTGTGCTGTCGTATTTCGTGGAGTTTACAAATTGAAGAAGGAATTGATTATTATAGGATGGATTGGGCTTCTGGTAGTTTTTGGGTGCATTCATCCCATTTTTACCATCTTTTACTTGTTAAAACTCTACTACATGTATGTCAGGTAGGTATTCATTTCATTATTTGACTATGCTGAATTCGTTAGGCGATATTGCTTCTAAGGCTTTTTGTTAGGAGGGAGATTTTCGAAAGAATAATACGCTGGGAACCCCATGCATAAGCCCTGTAGGTAAAATGAAGAAATACTATTAGTTTCTACTTTGGTCGTAACTTGATGGTTGGATTGTGAATTATCTTATTAGTTTTTTTTACTAATCTTTAACGTTGCTATCTATGAAATAACTGACCGGTGATACAGATTTATTGTTCTGAGGATATATTATACAAACCCCGAACACCCCACCACCTCTACAATAGCATAATGCTATCTTATGAATAATTCCAGTTAATGGAGGCATGTGTTCAGAAAAGCTAGTGGTAGTCATTTAACAAGCGAGGTTTTAGAAAACCATATGTTTTTATTCATTTACGTTCCCAGTGTAACATAGAGCTTCAAGCTAGAGGCTCGGCGTTTCTGTAGCAGTGTTTATTTTTACAGGATTAGGTTGCTAGCCTCATGCCCAACCTTCCATCTTTACTAGTCTTATTACTGGCTTAGTGAGGTAAAGGAGTGCGCC